AGATATGTTCCCACAAAAGTATTTATCAATATTTTACTTTCATTTTTACTTCCTTGTATGAAGTAAAGGAAGTATTGTAATTGCGAAAAATTTCGGGTATCGTATTTCAACGAAAATATCCATTTTGACTGCTCTCGATTCCATTTGAACGATGTTTTTGCGTTACATTTGGACGTACGGACAGAATAAAGGATTCTTTTTCCCAAAACGGATTGTGAAATGAAATTAAAATGGGTTCAGAACAGATTTTTTTTTTTTTTTTTCCGTGACGTCTGTACGTACTTGAGTATGTACGTGCGTAAGTATGTATCTCGCATAACTCAAAAACGAGTAGCCTCAGAACGTTGAAATGTATTGTATATGGGACTGCTATAACATGTATATGTGCTCCTCCCTTTACGGTTGCAATAAGCCGCACCAAAAGTATGTGTTGGTAAATTGTGGATTTTTTGCTTTAAAATTTATTGAATTATATTGCTCTTATGTTCCGGTTAAGGATTTTATGCCTTTAATTAATCTGCATGCAATAGTTATAAAATTATCAACAATTTAAAAGTCGTTTAAGTTCCAGTAAGCCTAACGACGCCGCCTGTTCACATTTGAAATTTAGCAGCATAGTGAATTAAATCAAATTCTGCACCACCTTCAGTGCCTTTTTTCCGACTGGGGCCAAAAGTTTTGTGAATCGAAAAATCTGTCTTTATGCATGATTTTATTTAATTTAAACTGAAATTTTAATTGTAAAATTTTTTTAACGGTTTTTAACTCTATTTAGGTTTTTCTCTATTTTGCAATTTTTAATGAAGATGTTTTGAGATTTTATGCATTTTTTCCTCGCCGCGAAGCGAGAATTGAATTAATTGAATGAGAAATATATCTTTAATGAAATTCAGGGAAACAAGTTTAAATGAAATGCAGCAAAAAGTGTGCATAATTTAATGGGCCGTACAAGGAAGGCCACATCAGATTTTTTATTTACATTTTATTAAGGCATAAGGAATTAAAATGGACTAAAAATCCAAGCGAAAAATTAAAATTATCTACTGAATATACTTGTTTGAGCAAATGCTCTAGCTACTTTTCGAGAAATTTCCCTCTTTTCGTTCACAAAATTGTCTTAAAAAATTTGAAGTATGTATATAATCCTAAGTTTATATTCCATTAATTCACAATATTTTATAGAATAGTTGTGGAAAATTACATAAAATTAGTATAGTAAAATTTTAAGTTATAGTTCTTTTCGAAACAGGAAATTAAAGAAATCTAGTTTTTCAAAAAATAGGTTTAATGTAATGTAATAAACAGAACGTAGCAAACAGAATGAAAAGGAAATACTACTGTCAAATCTGAAGCTAAAATTGCGAATCTAATCTTCTTCTGGAGCATCGAGCACTTAATAATTAATAGAACGTTTTGAAATAATCTTTAGAACATTATCAAAAGTGTTCAGATGAAAAATTCTCATTTTAGTTATTTAGAGTAAGTAATTGGTTTCCCTTTAAACATCAGGTTACTTCTGGTTTCGGCTTAGAACAAGAACAGCTATAACATGAGAAAGATGAGTCATTTAATGCACGATTTCGTTGCTGAGAAGAAAAAAATAGCATTAAGATGCACATTATGTCATTGTCTCTTGTGTTTGTAATCACTGTTTAACGTCTGTAACCTTGACGCAGATGACTGGTTTGTCTGTGAGTTACAGGAAAACACAATTCATTACTTTCTATTACTGACATTTAATTTAAGATCTGCAAAGCTTTGATAGTTTGGATGAACTTTCCTTTTTTTATGTAATTTAGCTATGAAGAATTCTTTGTCAATGAATTCATAAAACCAAAATCTTGATATCTTTAGAAGAGGATCCGTTTGCGGAATTACAAAGTGGTGATTCCACGGAACATGGTGTTATGCAGAACAACCTTCCTGCCGTTTGAATGTATGCGGGAATATCTCTGTGATTTATAACACATCTGATACGTACATAGGATTTATAGTATTTCGGACTGAGAATTTTATAACTATAACGTTGCGCGCCTCTAACTAGCACGCAACCAAGAGGTGACTGTGAAAGCTTGTATAAACCACAGAGTCTTATAAAGGGTTTAAGTCCCTTTTTATTCAACGTAATAAATTACAATGGCGTCCTCTTGACGCTTACAGACTGTGCCCACTAGGCAGTCAAATAAAAATAAGAACCTGAAAAGAAAGTAAAGACAATATTCTAACTACGAGGCTCTCTAAAATAACTAACTCACCGTGTTTTACAATACCGCTGCTAATTCAGCAGACTTGAAGCTCACTGGAACAATTGCAACTACTTCCCGCCAAGCACATAGGCCGCAACGCGGGGTTCTTCAATTCTCGATTTCTACCTCCGCGCTCGCTAAGTAAGAATAACTCTCTCACCGAACTCGTTTCCTTCTATTTAAATCATACTACTTCCGCTGATAATTTGAATGCTTGCGCGTTCTACTCAAATTTACATATTCTGGCATTGGCAGTTCCAGGGCAAAGTAAGGATTGACAGGAAAGATAGTTTAAACTTAAAATAAATGTTAGTTAAAATAAATATAAATCCTACATTTGCCGTTGCCAGAATTTGGAAAACTTGGAAGCAGGTCCTACAAACGACCTGTTGTAAGTTTATCTAATTCTGAACTAACTGGCGAAAGCCTCGTTTACACTAAAAAAATCTTATGTAACAATTATATATTAAAATTCTGTTATTCGTTACAAAGCTTTCTTCTTACAGCCACTTTTCCTGGACTTCATCAATCAATCTTGGTCTTTCCTTCCAGCATCTGGAAGGAATAAGTATCAGTATCTTTCTACATACATTATAATTTACACTTTCTTGACACAATACATTTTTGTTTTTAACGTTTCGTTTTTCTTAGTTATTGCTTACTTCACATTCATTCAATTTTTCAAGCATTAATTTAACTTTACCCTGGCTCTCCACCATGTGTGGTGTCAAACGGGAATATTCGTGTTTTAGTCTTACAACACTTCCCCTAACCACCATGATTTGTTAGAATTCAACAACCAAATAGACACACCTTAATCGACATTCTACAAACTCAATGAGCTACTTTAATATTCTTAAAAATTCAAATGTAGGTGGAGAACCCTACAAAACACATTCATTCTAACTTCCCCCTCATTCATCTTTAAACATGCAGGCTTTCGCTCTAAAGCATGACTTTACAGTTTAATACTTAAATTTTGACTTTATTATTGCTTTTAAGCATTCACTTTTAGCATCTACAATTTTATGCTTCTAGACTAAATTCTACTTTTACATAACATGCAAGTATTTACATACATTTACAAAATTTAATACATATGCTTTTTACAATTTACCATAAAATGAATAAGAGAAAAATAAATTTTTTACTTTACTCATTCTTCGCCAAGCTGGCGGCACTGAAACTAAATTCTTCCATTAATACAAGAATACGAAGTTATTTTTATCTCCGGCCAAATTTTGGCTTTAACATAACAGAATTAGTCTTTCGACCAACAGAAAATGCTTGTTTTTAGCTTTTACACTTAAAGAAAATAATACTTTTATGCTTTTGCTTTAGCTAAATAAAGTAAAACAAAACTAAGTCTCAACCGAGACAAATTGACTTTCGTCAAAACCTAGAACTTCGTACTTTATGCATAACATTTCGGAACAAAAGAGAAAAATATTTATAGAAGGTTTTAACTTATCTTTGAGTTTTCGATGCTTGAAATTCCGTCATCCGTTTTTTTTTTTTTGACAAAATTGATCCCAAGTTAGAGGTGTCATGGATGTCAATCTTCTCCTTATTGATCTCCGAGTGTCGTCCCCGTTGCTCTTTCTTTTGCGTCCTCTACATGCTGGCCTCTTGACGGAGTAATCGTCTGGTTGTTGGCCTTTGCGTTTTCTGCCTGGGACGGCTGGTCGTGACGTCCTCCGGTCTGGAGTCCTTCTTGAATTTCTTCTGTTGTTCGTCGTATTTTTGTGCCTCCTGTTGGCGTTTCAGTTTCCGGAACGGCGGCCTTGCTGGCACCTGACTCTGGGCCGTGTGCGCGTTCTTCTTGATGTGTAATTTCTCCTGCCTCTTTTTGTAGGTGGTGTTTTCGTCTTTACCACGGTTTCTTTACTTTACCCGGTTCATCTGTATTTTTTTTGTTTTTCTTAAACGCCGGAGTTTGAAAATCCTTTTTTCTTTTTGATACCGACGTCCGGGTTGTAGAAGTGCTAGGTCTCTCTTCAGTTCTCTCGTTTCTTGGGTGGTGGAATAGTTTTGTTGCAGTCTCTGGCCCTTCTATTCGTTCGTTTAGACTTGAGTCCTGCAAGAAACTTTTAAGGATTTCAAAATCATTGGGATTATAGTATTTTTTCACCTGGTCGGGACTTGCTTTACAGATTTCCCCTCTCTCGTTTTTAAGATATAAGACTACTCCTTTGATTTCCTGAATTACATAGGGGCCTTCAAACTTTGGAGCTAGCTTTGCCATAAAATTGTCTGGGGCACTTGATAAAGAAAACTTCCGTTTCAATACTTTATCCCCAACTTTAAAAAATCTGCTTCACGGCGTTTTTCTATCATAATAAATTTTCTGCCTATTTCTTGCCGTATCCGAGGTTTTAAGCGCCTGATCAATTAGCTTTTTTGCACGTCCTTTTGTCTAAATTCCTGCTCTCTTTGTTGCACAAAGAATAATTTATCTAAAGGCGTAATTAACTTTCTGCCTAAAAATAATTCTGCTGGAGTTTTTCCCGTAGTATCATGATGTGCCGTTCTTAAAGCATAAGCTAATTCATTTATGTAGCCATCCCAGCGCTTGTGATGTGTGCTAACGTAACTGCGAATTATTTTTACAATGTTTTTATTAACTCTTTCTGCTATGTTAGCCTGTGGTCTATACGGCTAATTAATTAAATAAAAGACCACGCTTAAAACTTTTGAACATTTTCCCTTCAGTTTAAAACTATTTTGTGTTCCTAACGCATGTTATTTTTTCAGGACAAATTTCAGCATGTACAGAAGAAAGAAATATTCTCTAAAGGAAGCTGAGGAAGAATATATTTTATCAGCGGAATGCATAACCAGTACATGTAAATCCACGGATGATCTCAAAGAAAATGCAAAGTCAAATTATCGTAGCATAAGCTGCAGATCTTTCTTAGGTTTCTTTTATATTTTCATGTGCAGCATTTTTATTACGCTTTCATCCGTCATTGTCAAGAAGCTCAACTATATAGATCCAGGACAATTATCATTCATTCGAAATTTTGGCGTCTTCGTTGGCAGCTTACCTATTGCTGTTTATTACAACAAGAACATCTTAGGTCCGAAAGAGTTTCGGATTGCTTTAATAACCCGATCCCTTCTTGGGGCAACTGCACTTTATTTGAACCTAATGGCATTCAGGTATCTCCCACTTGCTGAAGCGGCCGTCATAATGTCAACTCTGCCAGCTTTGGCAGGAGTAACTGCAAGGTTATATCTTAAAGAACCTTGTGGTCTAGTGCAAGCATGTGCTACTGTTTTAACAGTATGCGGAGTACTTCTTTCTATTCAAATACCAGAGCTCATCAAGAAAAGACAAAATGTGGAGTTCAACAAGACCTACATAATAGGACTTGCCTGTGCTGTGGGTTGCGTTTTCATCCTTTCTGCAACTTTCGTGTTGGTCAGGAAGATGAAAGATGTCCATTTTTCAATTACAGTTATTTATTCGGGTTTTCTGGGAATGTTGGAAAACGGAGCAATTGCGGCTGCTGTATCTTCCTATTCTTCGCCACGATGTGGTTACGACACTTTCCTGATACTACTGATCGCAGCCTTTGGATTTTTAGGACTTTGCGGACTTATATTGGCCATACAGACAGAAGCTGTGGGTATTGTGACTGTAACAAAAGCTTCTTTAGATATTACCATCGCTATGGTGTTTCAAGTGATATTCTTTAACACTCATCCCAACATTTACAATGCGGGTGGTGCAATACTTGTTGTTCTTTGTATAGGAGTCATTGGTATTAGAAAATGGCTCCTAGAAATGCCAGAGGAAGCGACATTGAGAAAGAGGCTTAAATATTTATTGCTGTGAAGACCATTAGTATATCAACTAACATACCTAGCTGTTTAGACTGTATCAAAACAGATTTGCACAAGTAGAACTAAGAATTAAACAAGAGAGACTTTATACTGGACAATATTTATATGTTTATGTGAAAGGAATTTCTGTGTGCTGAGCACATGTTACACTAAGTAACAGCTTTTTACAAGAAAAGATACTTTATGGTATTATATATATTACAAAAATTTAAAAAAGAGATTAAAAGTGTCCTTAATAAAACTATAGAAAGTAATTTAACTACTTAATTTTAAACTATGTTCATGATGTTTTTAAAAAGTGAGAGAGAGAAGCAATATTCGATTCACTTACTTATTATAACAAATTACTTTATTGTAGCAAATTACTTTATTATAGGCAAATTACTTATTATAGGTTACTTATTGTAGCAAATTACTTTATTATAGGCAAATTACTTATTATAGGTTACTTATTACAGGCAAATTACTTATAGTAAATTACTTAATATAGTTTACTTATTATATCGAATCACCATACTTTCAACTATTGCAACTTTATGGACTGGTTTATAGGAAAACGACCTCCCCCCAAAGAAAAATAACAAATATTTTGCTTCAGGGAGTGTTTTGACAAATGAAGCAAATATCTTTGAAAAAATATTGAAGATATTCAGTGTAATATGACGTTAAGACGGAATACGAAATTTTATGAAGTCATGGTTCAAGAACAAAACGAAATTCAGCGGACACTGCTTTAGCAAATATTCTTTTGTATACAAAATGCATTATTTGTTTTTACAAATGTTTTCTTCTTAAATTATTTCCACTGCTTGCAGAACTTCGTTTTTTTTCACTGAAAATGTTTAACTGCAATTTTTTTTAGAATAAAGAAAATTTTTTTTTTTTTTTTTGAATTTGCGTACTCTTTTTGTAAGTTATGTAAAAACATGCTTTTTAAATAATAACCTATTTACAATTTTTCTTTATTAATTAATCGTTATCTTATGAAAGAAATATAAATCATATGTTAGATAAACTCATTCATAACCTAAATATATCGATTTACCCACTTTTTGTGTACGTATTATGTGCTCCGCCCTTAGGCACTACACGGAAAGGGAGTGATGCCCCGTGGAGGTCGTTTTAAGGGAAACTGAATCGTATCCCCGTTACGCATGGGAAAAACCAAGAAAACGCTCATGCATCCAGCCCTTTCGCCGGAACTCGAACCCCCGGACCGAACTACCAGTACTCAGCGGCTTTTACCGCACGGCCGTTGGTGGGTCTGATTTAGCCACTTGTATGCATATATACAATTATATAAATTGATATATTTAGGTGATGACAATATTATTGAGCATAACTTGCTAAAAATGCAAAACGTGAAATTACATATAAATACATTAAACATTTTTTGAAAATAGTAAATATCCTGAGCAGATTATTGAATGTAGAAAATATACATTTTCTAGTCTCACAAACAATTTGCATGCGATTTATGCATATTCTGCACTAATAATCAGAATATGCATAATTCGCATGCAAGATAATTAGACATATTTTTCAGTCCTAATACTTTAAAGAAATTTTATCCCACCTTTAATAGACATTGATATTTTTTTAATTTATATTTTATTTGATATTAGGTACATTGATGTTTTTTTAAAGCTTAATTGCAATTTTCACTACGCAGGTGTATGTATTATAAAATTTCAGTTTTACTTTTTAAATTCCTCTTATTCTTTATTAATTAGGACATTCTTCTTTTTTGCTTTCCAAAGATACAGCAAACTCCCCACCACTTAATTAAAGTCATCGAATTTTTTTGGTCTACTCTTTGATGCATCGATAAATGGAGACAATCTTTGCGTAACGCTCATTTAAAACCCATTGTGATAGCAAAAGTAACATAAAAAGGTTATATTGCATCTAACATAGCATAGTTGGTGCATTATTAATAAATAACAACACGAAAGTTATGATAAATTTCAGGAGGAAATTTCAGAGCTGAAAAGTTTTAAGAAAGTTGAAAGTTTTAAATTACGAATCTCTCTCCATCCTCTAATTTCGAACAAGGAACAAAGGTGCGTTTACATTAAATTTTTAGCTTCACAATTTAAAAAAATTCTCCCTTTTTTGGCTTGAAATTCTTGTGTGCACCGAAACTGTTCAATTTCAATTACATTCGTTTGTATTTTGAAATATATATAAGTCTTATACTAAATAAACAGAAATCATACGAGTATTGTTATATGTATACTTTAAATTTATAAGGTATATTTCCTCCCTTCTTTCTGCATGCCTTTGTGGTGTAATGGTAGCATACTCGGCACGTATTCGAGAGGTGCAGGTTTGAGACCCGGCGAGGGCATTGCTCATTTTTCACATCTTCTGCTTCCAAATAACCTAAAGACTCTACAGCCGTGACCGGACAAAAAGATGGTAGATGATGGTTCTCCACCACCGGGATTTGGCGAATGTATCCTCTAATCCCCAGTCGGCCTTTAAAGGGAGAGTATATTTTCTCCTTCCATTCTGGATGTCTTCGAGGTGTACCGGTAGCACACTCGGCGCGTATTTGAGACGTCCAGGTTCGAGTCCTGGCGAGGGAATTGCACATTTTCCAGGCCTCCTGCTTCAAAAATCCTAATGACACTCTGCTCTACAAATTATTTAAGAAACGCCATGACGAGTATTTTCAGAAATTGTATGTTTTTACTGCAAGGGGAGGTAATAAGAATGCTAAATTAATTATCAAGACAAAAATTAATAAAATGCAATGATTAGAATTACGAGTCTAAAAACTCGTATTAAAAGTCTAAAAAACTAGTAGTGATTAAAACTGTACTGATTACCTCTAGAATAGCGAATACTACTTTCTGAAGTACTTTAAATAATAAGTAAAAATACTACTTTCTGAGGTGATACATAATTACTCATAACCGGGCTGAGGGTTTTTTTTTTTTTTTTTTTTTTTTTTTTTTTTTTTTGTGATTCTAAAGTTTTAAGGTAACTTAATCGTTTATGTTGTAAGGCATTTTCTCCATTCTTACTGCCTGCCTTCGTGGTGTTACTGGAAAACATGCCCGGCTAGCATCGGAAGATCCAGAGTTTGAGATCCGGTGAGGGCACTGCATATTTTTCAAGTTTCATGCTCCAAAATAAATTATTTTATGATTCTTCAAGTGGCGCCCGAACTAAAAGGTGGTGGACGATAACGCTGGGGAACAGCAATTTCGTTGGCTTAGATCTTTCACTTGTTATTGACTAATTTATGGTCTCTGAATCCAAAAATAACCTCAGTTTTTATCTATCACGTCAACTTTATGAGCTATATTATATCCTCTCTTTCTCTCAAAAATCATACAAAATATGCACATAACGTACAAAAAACATAACGTACCAAGTATACTTACTGTTCACAAAGAATAGTCTTATTCATACAAAGGCTATATATAGTTATTGCAAGTTAATTTTTGTTCATACAGATAGTAAAGTTTTTTACCAGACGGTAAACATACATATTAGCGCGAAAAATTTCGCTTATGGCTTTTCTGGAGTGTTTAATCTGCGGATGTTCTCGCTTGATCCTCGAACAATAATCAGCCATCATATATACATCCCATCTACTCTGCTACCGTGCCTCCATGACCATCAAATCTTTGTGGAATCGCTCACCTTGGTCATCACGGATTGCAGTAAGATTTTTCGGGATTTTATAAAGAAGTCTATGTAAAAAATGCAGTTGAATGCTCATGTTGTAACCAAGTCTTTTGAAGCTCATCTAAAGCTGCTGGGCAATTTCGCTGTAATTTTGTGTCCATGTATTTCCAAGAAAGTCTTTGACAATGTTTTGGAATACCAACTAAGCATTCTCTGAAGTTCTATAATTGCTCCGATGAAATGTTCATCTTTAAAGAGCTTCAGAACTTATGGGCCATCAAACACATTGGAGGTGAAAATATAATGTTCTTTGTATCGTCAAGTGGATAATGTAGAATGTTTGGATCACCAGGATCCAGTTCGGATCCTGGCGCCCTATGCTTCTCACGAGATCTACTGTCCCACATACACCCCAAACAGAGATACTTGATATATCCGCGTTGGTCTTCAAGGAGGAAGCAGACCATTTTAAGGTCAACACGGATGATCCATTGGTGTATGCGATATTGCAAGAGATCAAAGACTCTCTTTATGTCTTCATACTTGTCCCACAAACAAACTGAATGGCTTGTCGGGACTGCACCAGACAAATTTCCGTTGTACTGGAGGGCACACTTCAAGCACCGCTCTGACCTATGATGAACAATCGCCATTGAGTTGCGTTATAGCTGAAATTCCCAACTCTTTCATTAAACCATGTACGTTATGGCAATACAAAAATCCATCATCACTTCGAAAATGTTGCTGAAACGCAATTTCTTTTGATCGAAAGTAGGACACCTTAGCTCCTTTTTCAAGCAAGGTTTTCTCGTGCAGTCCTGATGCTAACAGTTCAGAAGCTTTTTTGGATAGTTTTAAATCTCGTACTAAATAATTCAACTCATGCAACTCATTCACCAGGATTGTATTCCTGTATTTCCAAATAGGGTCTTTTTTGAAAACTGGCACTAAAAGTTCAGCTGAGTAAGGAAATGGGACTGTAGCTGATGGTAAACTAGGATACTCTATTTCAAATTTGGTTTTCTTGTTATATCCGGAAGCTTTCACTATGCAAAAGTAAAGATTACATGAGTGATCTTTCGATATCGCCAAATCATTGGTATACCAAATGGAAATTTAGAATGTGTTCCCTTCACCTCACGTACATAAACTGTCTACACACTGCTTGCACGCACACTTTGTGAAGGGCCCATGATTTATCTTGATGAACAGTTTTCAGTTTAAAATAAGCAAAACAGACGTGCCTGACAAATGTATTGTTATTTGTTCTTTGACTGGGAATCGTGAAACTGACACATATATAATAAAAAGAATCGGGGCTGTTTAAGCACTTACGACGCGAACTAACAAATGCAGGCAAAAGGAAAGATTTCAGTTCATATATAAATAAAAAGTAAACACTGCTAACCCTTGTTATACAAACAAAAACTCGGACTCCACCTCGGAATGCGCTAATATTTTTGCTAAACCCAAAGCGTAATTGTAGTAGCTCAGAATTCCGAAAAAAATGCTGCAATTTCAGTATGCTCAAAGATTTCAGTATTGCTCTTGAGCTAATCGTTTTTTAGATGCAACGAAACAATCCCTACTGAGTTCACTTTAAACCAATTTTACTATACGTTTTAGAAAAAGAGTCTTATATTCTGTTGTTACATACAAATGTCATACACCACACACACACACCAAAAAAAGAAAAAAAAAAAATGTTACAAAGTTTTAAATTACGTTCTAATGGGCGGTTTTTGTTTAACATTTTGCGTGTTACCTTTATTTATTAAATATCATGGTCTTCGCACTTAAACCATAAAATGCAGTTCAAGAGCAACATCGCGGATTAATTTTAAAATGAGCATGCCTTTAGAATTTCCGCTACAGAGTCTCGCGCGCTGGAGATAAAAATGCGTTTTTTTTTTTTTTTTTTTTTTTCCTCTCTCCTCTCTCCCCGTAGAGTTTTGCCATTGCTCGTTTTGAAATCGTTTAGTTTGTTAATCGAAAATTCTTTGAAGTGTTACAAACATAAAATCGATAATAAAACAAATTTCAAATTCAAATTAGGGCTTTCACATGCCCGCATTTTATGGAAGGTTACGTTATTCATATTTTGATGGCTCTAGGTACCGTTGTTTTATCACAGTGTGAGAAATTTGCATACATTCATGCAGATTCTCCATTATTTAATTTCTTTTAAATATAATACAATGCTAATGAACAAAACAACTACAACCCAAAGGACCTGCACACTACAGTGGATACCAGCGCAGGTTGATATTTACGGAAATGAGCAGGCTGATGGCCTCGCCAAAGACGACCGAAATAATTCTCAACAGCTTAACCCTTACCGATGCTGACTCAATAGCCAGCTGAAGACTTACCTCCCAATCAATCAAGAAAAATTCCATTTCTGCGCTAAATTGTAACCATGTCATTTCCACTACCATAGGATTGAGGACAAAACACTCGAAAGGAATGAAGATATCCTCTGATGGTCAACGAAATTATAATAGCTGTCCTCACTGTATTGATATAGAACTTTCCCCAAATCATCTCTTCGACTGTCCTGGTAATTTGGCCAAGCTCTTCAGTATTGATATATTTGGTGGGAACAACTTGAAAAGTGAAACAACTCTTATCGTGAATCAATGCAAAATGCCAAAACGAAATTAATAGTCTTTCTGGGCAAACTAAACCTTTGGACTTTAAAAAAAAAAAAAAAAAAAAAAAAACTGATGTGTACACCACATGACTTCCTTGTACGGAATATTAAATTATACGCATTTTTTCTTGCATTTCATTTAAACTTATTGGATTGAAATAAATCTACTTCGTCGATAGCGCATAAATCACAATAGAATAAATGCACTCTTTAAAATTCACTATATTTGTGTACCATAGCGGCGCTCTGGTGCTAGGTTTACTTAACAGCGTTATATTTCGTTCAAATTATAATTCAGAATGCACAAAATTTATATCATTTGAAGAATTATCTAATCGTTGCCACATGTTCTATTCAAATACTATAATAAATCTAGAACGATGTATAAAAGAAATTAAGCAAACAAAACAAAAAGAAACAGTTTTTCACAGACGATTCAGTATTTCTCATTCAATTAGTTCAGTTCTCACTTCGCGACAAGGCAAAAATACATAAAAACTCAAAATATCTATATTAAAAATTACGAAATAAATCTTAAACACTTATTTTCTCGAAAAAATTCCAGAAAGGATTAAGCATGATTTAATTCGCAATAATAAATGAAGGCGTTCTTTTTGTTGTTGCGAAGCTTAGTCTCTCTAGATTGGCAACAAATCTACTATTCTGCTGTTTCAAATCTATTTCAAATTTAAAACAAATTTGATGGCTCTAGGTGCCCTTGTTTTTTCACAGTGCGAGAAACATACATACATTCATGCAGATTCCTCATTATTTAATTTATTTAAATATAATGCCGGGTTCTAATATTTGGTGGCAAAAATTTGAAAAGCGAAATGTCGTTTAAAACGCGAACCGAAAATGCGAAAACAAAATTAATATCCGTTCTATGCAAATTGTTCCTTTGGGCTTAAAAAATCATATCATGATTTAATTGCAATTATTATTACGAGAAGCTTTTCAGTGTTTTGCTCGTTCTTTTCCATTCTCTCCAAAGTGTCTGACAAATTCATTGACTCTGGCTTTAAGCATTTATTTAGATGTTGGCAGATGTCGGCTTCCTTGAATGGCAAACCTTTTCAGCAATGTTTTTCCAACATACCTAAGCTCTACATTTTTTCGGTGTTTTCCATGAAGCCAAATATTTTTCATGCGCAGAAATCATAGAGCTTCGATTTTTTCATAAGGTAGCAGCTGTAGATTTGGATAAATTGTATTTCTGACAGATATCGATTCAGCTGCACCCGTTCTGTATTTATCAAATAATGTTTACCTTATCTTAAGTGGAGAACTTTTACGTTTACTGTGTGCCATGGAGATGAATTTTTGGCATAGAAATATAGCGCTTAGAGTCTTGTCAAAGAACATGCGAGAGTTTTGCTCTGTTTGGAAAAGATAAAAAAGGAAGATAATTTCTTCACTTATGCACTTTATCTAATATTCAGTGGCAACACAAATTCCTTCAAGATATGTATGGTTGAAATACAAAGATTCAATAGCATTTACAAAAAATATCTTATGTCTTACAAAAAAAAAAAAAAAAAAAAATGCAAGACACAGATTCGATGAATAGGATTTGAAGATCATTAATGCGCAAACAAAACGAACTGATAAGATTTTCGTTCCCTAGAAGAAGAATCATTTGTAAAACTGGAGACTCATAAGATTCACTACTTCCCCCTCCTCAAATATTATAGCATCAGATGTGAATAAAGTACTGTTTGACAGCTTAATTAAAAAACAATTTGAATCATAGAACTCATTCATGTTTTTCGGTTCAATTATCATGTGCACCATATGATGTTCTAAGATATGCTTATTGTATTCTCGTTCTCGTAGAGTTGAATGTTATATTCGTCTCGCTTAGCCTTTATTTAGAATAGAGAAAAAAAAAATGGACGTGAAAATTGCAAAGTGTGGATAGAATATGGAACCTATAATATCCTAAGCGTGGATCATTTTAACTGTATATTTTTTTGTTAAAATTTGCAAAGATTCTGGGAAAAATATAAAAATACAAAAAAGTTTCAATTGAAAGATACCCATGAAGTTCGTTATATCCAATTTTCATACACTTGAAATTTCATTGCAATAATATAAAATAACTTTTAAATGAACAGGAAACTGGATAGGATCAAGAGATTCATACGTTATAAGCCGAGTTTTTTACAACGGGATTCGTATGTAATATAATAATTCTTTGTAAATTTAATTCTTTGTAAAAATAATTCTTTGTAAATCAACCCCAGGTCGAGACTTGTGCATTTATTTAACAAAGAAAAGACAGCTACTTCAGACCTAGACGTGGATATTTTACTGGATGGCTTGCGCTCGAGATTTACAACAGCTATTTTTTACAATACTTGTTATGTTGCAATCAGACTTTCAGAAAATAATAAATACTAGCGGTCAGGCCCCTCGAAAAAGCGGGCTGTGACAAAGCAAAATTTATAAGTTCTATGTGCGCCTGAAAAGAAAATGTCTAAAAGCATTTCAATATGAATGAAATTAGTTCAGTCTTTCCAAGGAACAACCAATTGCTAAATATTTTTTTTTTTTTTTTTTGGTTGCCAAATCAGGAAACAAAACCTTCTGACACTTTAGGTTAATACGTATACTTATGACGTTTTGATTTAAATTTAATGTAATACAGGGTGGTTATAATTAAATTTCCACTTTGAAATGGTCATAAAAGGAAAACTAGTGAACCAAATGGTTATTGAACTTGGCAATCGTGTAAAAGAGATCATGGGAATTCATTTTCTGCGAAAAAAAATTAAAAAACTCATCGCCAGGAGTGAAATGGCGCTGTATGCAATAGTGTTAAACGAAATAAGACATGAAGACATCGGTTTGAAACGTGTTTAATCGTTTCTGAAACATGTTAAAAAGCATATTCAATGTGGCGTCCATCATTTTCCGAAAGCAAATTAAATCGTATTACTGTATTCTCACTAGCAGCTCTTAGCATATCAGAAGGAATGTTACGGATATGTCCATTAGCGCATCTTTCAATTCCGGCAAAGAGATAACCCCATAGCTAAAAGCCTCAAGGGTTGAGGTCTGGTGACCAGGGTGACCAAGAAGTAGGGATATGTCCGCCTATAATCCGTTCATTCGTGAAATGTTGCCTAAGTAACTGTATACACATGTACCAATGTATATATACTAATATAGTAAGTATATATACTAATATAGTAAGTATATATACTAATATAGTAAGTCACAAATATAGTAAGTGATAAATAATAGTATTATTGTTACTATAATCACTGCCATTTACATGGTTGTAAATATGTTTCGTAGGTAAGTTCTGTTTGAAATGTATAAAATTGTTATCTAGTCAACTTCTAAGTAATATCCATGCACACTCGGTGCTGCTAAAATTCCTGGAAACATGGAGAGAATGCTTCTTTGGTGGTATGTGTCATAGACTGATTGTATTGTCATGTTTGCGATAGTTTGAATGATCTGAAAACAATTGAAGTCGTAGAAGGATCTTTATAACACAAAATAAAGGGGTACAGGATGAAAAGTTTGACAAACAAGGTGGTTATCGCATGATGGAAATTTATTTTCGAATAATAATAATAATAATAATAATAATAATAATAAACCCCTTTCTTTGCTCATTACATTTTGCTTAAAATGCGACGCTACGATGCAATACACAGAGAGTATTTTAACTTTTTGTAATATCCAAATTAAAATCTTGCGAATTATATGCAAATGATATGACGTTTACACTAACTTTTTTGACCAGAGGAATGTTAATAATTGTAAATGTGTTACAGATATAGTGCTGAATTTACGATTCATATTACTGTAAATATATTTTATATTAAAAATATAAATGTTTTTCGTTCTTTTGATTTCCTTTGATATTACTGTTTATTGATTAAAACTTCATTGTTTTTGCAGAAGGAAAATTCTTCTAGTGGAAATACAAGCACACGCGTCATCATGTTTCGAAGAAAGAAATGGATTCTAAAGAAACCTCATACAGCATCCAGTTCATCATCAGATTGTATTATCAGTACATTATCGTCTGTTGATATTCTGAACGAAAACGAAGGGACAAAATTTTGCCACGTAAATTACAAACCTTTCTTAGGGTTCATATATATTTTAATATGTAGCCTTTTCATCACGCTGTCATCAGTCATTGTGAAAAAAATCACCTATATAAGCCCAGGGCAATTGTCACTGGTCAGAAATGCCGGAGTTCTGGTTGGCAACTTACCCATCGCTATTTACTCTAATGAGAAAATAATAGGTCCTAAAGGGTCCCGTTTACATTTAACTATTCGATCTTTTCTTGGTGCCACAGCGCTATATCTCAACTTGATGGCATTCAGATATCTTCCACTAGCTGAAGCAGCTATTATAATGTCGACATTGCCGGCTATGGTAGGGATAACTGCAAGATTATATCTCAAAGAACCGTGTGGAGTAGTCCAGGCATTTGCTATATTGCTAACCATATGTGGAATGCTACTTTCCATTCAGCTGCCTGAGCTCATCACGAAAAGGGACGTTGTGAAGTTCGATACAAATTACATTATAGGACTAGCATGTGCTGTAGGCTGCGTTGTCTTATTATCCGCAACTTTCGTGATGTTGAGGGAAATGAAGGATGTTCATTTTTCAGTAAATCTTATTTTTTCTGGTTTCATCGGGGTCTTAGAAAACTCATCAATAACAGCTGCTATATCATATTATTCTTGGCCACGATGTGGTTATGATCCTGTATTAGTTATGCTTGTTGGGGTTTTTGGATTTCTAGGACATTGTGGACTCGTATTAGCAATACAGACTGAAGCCGTTAGTATCATAACTGTTATGAAAGCAGCTTTAGACATCATCATCGCTATGATATTTCAAGCAATATTTTTTCAATCCCGTCCCACTCTTTACAATGCAGGGGGAGCACTGCTTGTAATCTCATGCATTGCAATCATTGGCACAAGAAAATGGCTTCAACAAATGCCAGAAGAAGCAGTACTGAGAAAAAGATTTAAATATTTATTACTTTGAGAAATATTTATGACATACGTGAATAACATGTGCTCATTGATTTTCAGTATACTTACAACACACGAGTAAAATAAGAATCTGAATTTTAGAGAGAATGTAAATGAGTAAAATGAGAATCTCCAAGAATCTTCCTATCTAAGGAGTTATCTAAAACGTTTGAATGAATGATATTAAATAATATTTATTAAATATGAATTTAAATGCTAAAGACAGCTTACGAAATCTATTTGCCCGTTTATGTGAATAAGTAATAAATTTAGTGTTATCCTAAACAAATTTATTTTATTGCTCGCCTGTAGCTGAACTCGAATTTCCAATTATAACCAATTAAATAACTAAATACACTCCTGCTAAAAAAATAAGCAACAAAGACAAAACTCGAAATAAAACAAAAACGATTGAACCGATTATGCTTGAAAATGATCCCAGAGGTTTAGTAGACGAACAGCATATGTACAGTCAAATGAGTAATTTCATCATATTTCAGTAGAAATTCAGAAAAAATATAAAATCCATAAAATCCAGTGATCAGTAAAATGTTTCATCGCCGTAGGATTTGAAAACCAAGATAACGTTGCGGCGCGTAGTTTGAAGTATCGGACGTCATGCTGTAGCATCTGCACAGTTTCCAACTGGGATGGATCTGCCAGAAGTATGGAGGCATTCGGATGTCTAGAACATACACAGATATGTCGATTGATTGGGAAAGGTTTGAAAGCAAGCCATCTCTGTGCAAAAAAGATTGCCATTGAGGCACTGTCGTGAATGCTTGCAGCGGTTTCATGTCAGAGTGGTAATGAACGAATGGCACCGTTTTGTGCATCGTGTTCATTTCGATTCTGTCTCAGCAATGATTACCACAAACCCTCATCAGCTGGGTTATTTAGGTTGATTCCTTGACTAATATTTAATAGGAAATAGCTGCTCAGCGTGTATCATGCTTTGCGGGGTGCCATCATCATTAGTAAGTGATCATTTCTAGAATGCATAACAGGTACAATGACAGCAAACCGATATTTTAATGAATGCAACTGTATATTCTATTGTAATCTCCACAAATAACATATATTCCAGATATACAAAAAGATCTCTTTTTTTTTTTTCATATAATTTTCGGGAACTAGCAATCATCCTTCGAAAAGTGTCTACGCTATTCCTTGGCCTGCAAGATGTCTGGATTTCTCACCAATCAAGAATTTGTGGAATATAATTTTGTCATGTGAATGCTCTCAAAAGTTTTTACAATTAGCATGAGTTGAAGACTTTGATTATAATACCCGATACAGTATCACTGTCATGAAAAAACATTCATTGTTTAAACTCTGTAAAAAGTATATATTCAACATTTAATTTGCACTGGGTGGGCTATTTCCGTTAGGGTATCACCTTAGGTCGGAAGCCCTCTCAGTGGTGCAAAATGCAAAATACCTGATACAGTATTTTAAAATAGAATTCAAACAATGAGAATGATTCGTAGCTGCTACAATGAGGCTATATTTCTTTCTCTGTAAATCTTGTTACTGAACATGTATAATTATTTGAAATTAAAATCACTTTTCCCCCAAAGTACTTTTTTACCTGTGTACCAGATTTTATCTTCTTTCAAAAATTTATTCATGTATTGCATTTTCTCTGAAGAAAAGTGTACATTATGCTTAGTAATTAAGTTAATTCACTTTTTGCTAAGCATTCATTTGCCTCTAAAGTAACATAATTATGTCATTCATTTTCATCCATAGCTAGAATAAATTTTATGCTTACCAAAATACCATTGAGATTCAACTTATGGACTTGAAACGAATTAAATAAAGAGTTACTGTTCAAAAAAATGGATTTTAAAAACTGCAGTTCTTCAAACTAGAAGAAATGTTTCAAATTTCATATGTTCTATTCTATGCTTCTCAGTTACAAAAATAAACTCATTTTACCTTTCCAACAGGAAATTCATTTCTTTCTTCTGTTAAATGTTAATAATTTCCAGCAGAATTTAGGAGAGGAGTAATTTGCTTAGAATTTTTAATATTTTGTTCTAAATGTAGCAAGATTCAGTTAAACTGACAATAATAGATGCTTCGTGTATCAGAAGACATGACGTGAACTACACCGATCTCTGTGTCTTTGGAGAAGCTGGTACCTCAGACCATTACCTTACCATCTCCCCACTTACCAAAGAATACCACTGTAAAGTCCCCAAGTAACCCTTCCCCAAGTAACAAGCCTTCTGCAAGTTTATGGTAAAACAACGTTATTTGGTGGCAAGGATCGACCAGATTCTCGAAGAGCATGCGAAACTCGGAGCTGACCTGTATCTAATTATACATATTTTTTTTAATTATTTAACATTTTGGGGGGGCGGTTCATAGGTAAAAGTAAAAATGTAATATTCTCTCGGTTTGTTTCTAGAAGACAATTTGTAAGCGCTTTGTAATACGCTTTGTACCGACCTACTGCAAATATTATATAAAATTTGCAGTAGATGGGTACAAAGCGTTTCAACACTTCAATTTAAATGTTTGTGAAGACTATTAACTTTTATTATATCTTTGAGCTAAGTAAACTCTCTAACTTGTTAGATAAAAATTTCATAGCTATCCTAACTTCTTTAATAAAATTGTGCTAAATAGCGGATGTACTCAAACTCTTTAACTGTATAGAATGCATGACATATCAGTAATTCAATTTTATTTTTTCCAATGTTAAGTAGGGTTCTGAAATGTAATAAGTGTAGTTTAATAAATTAATCAAAAGTGTAAAAATTAACAGCATAATTAGACCAAATGGGCTTTAGGCCAGAAGAACTATCAATCTCAAAACGGCATTTTGCTTCAAATCACTTTAAATGTCCGAATCACTTTTCAAATTGTTGCAACCAAATATTATAGCCCTGCATTATATTAAAATAAATAAATAAAAAAATAAAAATTTGAAAGGTTTCAGATTTTAAATTACGTCCAAATGGGCATTTTTTTAACGCTTTGTGTGCTACCTTTATTTTATTTAATATCATGCTCTTTGCAGTTAAACCATAAAATTCAGTTCAATAGCAATGTCGCAAAATAATTTCAAAATGAGCCTATCTTTAGAATTTCTGATATACAGTTTTGAGCACTGGAGATAAAAAGGTTCTCCCCCCGTAGAGTGCTGCCATTGCTCGCTTTTAAATCGTTGTGTTTTTTACTCAAAAATTCGTTAAAGTTTTACAAAATATAAAATCGATCATAAAACAAATTTCAAATTTGGGCTTCTACATGCCATATTCGCAGTAGGATTACGTCATTCAAAATTCGATGGCTCTATGTACCGTTGTTTTATCACAATGCGAGAAATATACATATATTTATGCAGATTTTTCATTATTTAATTTCTTTCAATATAATGCAGGACTCTAACATTTGGTGGCAACAGTTTGAAAAGTGATTCACTGTTTATGGTGATTCAACGTAAAATCGCAAAACGAAAAACAATAGTCCTTCAGGGACAAAGCCCCTTTGGACTAATAATTAAGAATCTACTTATGTAAACAGTGCGAGACTGTATGTAAGTTTCTCGCACTGTGAAAAACCAGCGGTATCTAGAGTCATTAAATTTTGAATAGCATAGTCCTTAACCCGAATATGGGCACCAGGAAACCCGATTCTGGAGTTTGTTTTATTGTCTATTTCATATTTTGTAAAACTTGATAATTTGTAAACGTTTGATTAAAAAACTCAACAAACTTTCAGAAATTTTATTATTGTTTTGGCCTTTTTCTTCGGTTTGTAAAGACCTTATTTTATTCTAACATATTGTTTAGTTAAACTTTCCTTTCCTTCCTGATTTCAGTTTCCTGCCAGAATGTAAAATTTGTTATGGCATCGATGCAAATCTAAACATGTTTCAGAAGCAGTATTTAAGCTGCGTTTCAAGAGTTCGTGAATAGTAGCGGAGTTAGTTCCGAGTTTATGTTGCGTGTTTGAAATTAGCTCTTTGGTTGTGTGTTAGACACCTTTCAGAATATACTGATATCCTAGGCTCGGCTTTGATATGTGCAGCTGATTTAGCGATTTACCTAAGCTAAGGAACCAGTCGTTAGCCATTCTAAATTATTGTTATTTGTAACATTTTTATTTTCTGTTCAGTTTAGCTATAAGTGGTGGTGAACCGTGAGCACCAAGTGCGTGCATTTGTTTATTTTATTTAAATAAAAAAGGTTATTTAAACCTACTTATGTAGTATCTGTTCTCCAAAGACATAGAGAGAATTCGCTATTTCGTCTTCTACGTCATGCCTACAAATTATACTTCCAGAAAGACATATAGATTTAAGTAAATTATGATGAGCTCTTGAAAAAAAAAAATGATAGCGAAACAAACAGGAAATAATATTATTTAAATAAAATTACATTAAAACTTATAGCATTTTCAGAAAATTTGTCATCACAGCGATAAGTTAAAATTTATAATACTCTGTTTTCTTTACATTGCTAGAAAAGCATTTTATTATGAGTAGATAAACATGGTAGAAGTTATTTCTTTAAAAATGCAAACGCTAAAACTAAGGAATGAAGATAAAGATAGGTAAAACTATTGCGAAAGAATAACATCAATTCATCATACATATGCATGCATCATGCAACAGCATAAAAATTCGACCCTGGCCACGTGAAAGATTTCTAATTATTTTGGATCTTCAAGAGTTTACAATATTCAGTTCTGTCATGCTGAGTGGTACTTTTATACGCATCATTGCATATTACGCGTTGTGACATGCACTGCATATTTAAAAATCTCAAATTCATTTTTTGGAGGGGAAAAATTTCATTTTTTTCATTTTTTTAAAGATTTCACTCTTATATAAGAGTATGAAATCACAGATTTTAGACGAATCTGGATTCATTTATCAAGAATATAAACTGGACAACATTTCTGTGTAAAATGAAGTATTCCTCCAGTTTTATACTATTTTAATTGTTTGCTAAAATTTGTCTCTTTGAATTAAGATAGCTCGCTATTAAAATTAAACCTAACTTCACTTTAACTTAGAAGCATATTAATTTTAAATTTATGTCAATGGATCTAAACTTATTTTTTAAAAAGGCAATTAAGTGAAATTATTAAAAATATTAAAATACTGCAATTAAGGATTCAATTTCAAACTAAATGCGCTTTAATTGTTGATGTCTAATTTGTGTTCAGATTCATGTTTTCGTTTTTCATCATTACTTCAGATATTTGAATGGAAACACTGCACTCATTGTTAATACTATTATTACAGTGATTTTCACTTTAGATTCAGCATATTTGTCGTAGTACATCTGAACAGGTTTCTCAGATGTATCGAGATATTTGCTCTTAGATTATCTGGATGTCATTTTGTTTATAATAAAAATTGTTGTCAGACACGAAAATATACAGTTTCTCTTCGCACGTTTGTTAATGATTTTGCTTTGCTATTAAAAAAATCGTTTGCTTGGAATTTTTTTTAACTGTAACTGTATTTTTGAAAGTATAAATTTTAGTCTGCTACTTGACAGTTTTGTTTTCATGCAAAATGGCGCTTTTAAAGAAAGAAGCAATGGATAAAAGGCTATATTTGTGTTATTTCCGAAGGAAATTATTCGTATCTAGTTATTAAATTATTAAGAAACGCTGTGAAGTCCCTAATTTCCGATATCTAAAGATATTATAGGTAATATTATAGAGTCATTAGGATTTTTGAAGTAGAAAACACGAAAAATTAGCAATGCCGTCGAGGGAACTCGAACCAAAACTTCTCAAATACGCGCCGAGTGTACTACCGTTCTACCACGAAGGCATGCAGAAAGGAGGGAGAAAATACATTATAATATTTTCAATAAGAAAGGGGAGAAATATCAACGTTTACCTTAAGGTTGATAATTTTTTCCAAATATTTACCCAAGGAAAAAATGGAATGTTTCGAATGCTGCAAAGGTAAGGTCCTTAATGTTAAAAGGAAATCCGCTAAGGGCAGTTGCAAAATCATAAACATTAATTAAACGCATCATCCTCCCCAAAATCGTTCTAAAAATACATAAATAGCCTCTGTGTACAGCCTCCGTAAACTTTTAAAGTGAACTTCCATATAGTTTTTTAGCATTATTTTATGTGCAAACTTGAATAAGCTGAAACAGAATTGTGATAAAAGATTCTGAACTATAAACATAAATAATTTTTCACCATATTAAGAAATATATACGAAATACGTAAAAAGAACGATATCCCGCGAGTGGTCAAGTTGAATACTAAATGTTAGTCATAGATTCGATCCCAGAGTAAAGGGTTACCTGCAAGGTCGATTTTTCATATATGTAAAGCGAATGTAAGCCATTTCCCTTACAAAGTCTTTCGAAGGCATCTGTAGAGTTCTCCTTAAAAATTATTCTAATGAAAAATATATTGAGAACTTTGCTTTCTTCACCACTGAAGAAGGATTAGTGATCGACTGACAGGGTCTCAAAAAACCGGTCGTTGGAACTAGACGAGCATATATATATATATATATATACCATATATATATAGCATATATATATATATATGATATAATGAACGCAAAGAAAAGATGGGATC